ATGATAGAATCAATATACATGAAATAAAACAATGAATTAATCATGTGTCCTTAGAAAAAGTCATGATATAATGTTTAGCTATGCATATTTAATCTCCTTTGTTTGTTACTGCAAACACAGTTACACGCTGTGCATGACACACCATGAGTAATATGTGACAAACTTCATGAGAACTTGATTGAAATTGCCTTTAGTTAATGTTTGATCCATTTATTGCATTAAAAATGTCGTATTCCTTTCAAAATCATTTGTCAAATATTGATTATTTGTGGAAATATTTAAAAACTTTATATGAACAATGGATCGGAGGCAGACCAGATCTAATGGAAATCAGTATTCAATACAAACTCACGAATGGCATAGCTAACAGGAGAATAATGATCCCAATAGTGAAAAATATGCATTCAGCATGCCTTAATTTACATTTAGTAAGTTTCCCTTAGTTATAAGAGTCTATTTTAATGCAAAGGCAAGGAATTACTTTTTCTTTTTTCTTTTTTCTTCTTTAAATATGCAATTGTGCTAGATATTTTGTAGGTAGTTCCTAACAGTGACAAGTGGAAAAGTAAAATTGTGATACTGTAATAATTACTGTATCTATAAATGAGAATTTAAGACAAATTGAGACAGCTGTTACTGTAATGGTATTCTCAGGCATGTAATGAACAATACAAAAAAGAATTAAAAACCTATCATTGAAGGTCTTTCCAACATTAAATTTCTAAATCATTGATAAGAAGCCACTTCCGGTTTACTCAAAGTTACTGCTGGCGTCAAATCATAGATTTTTTCATGCTGATTCCAAAAATACTCGATTTCTATATACTTTTGCCTGAAATAAGAGATAAGTTTCAGAAGGTCAAATGATAGGTTTATGCATGCCAATTGAAAAAAATTTATAGTCTTTAAGTATTTTTCCATGAAAAGCTACTTCCTGACATTTTTCAAGGTCATAAGTCTCTACAACCTCATGCAAAATACATATGGCTTTGTCATGTACAAGTATGAAATTATAGCAAAGGTCAAAATCTAAAATGTCAAATTCTCATTTGACCTTGACCTCAATATCAAGGCCATAAAGGAAGGATTGTAAATCACTAAACCCTAGGTCTCTACCATACATGGTTAATGAGTTATTTCTCTTACCAACTTATTTCAATCTTTCCTAGGGAGAAAATTTAAAAGGCACAGTACCATTCTGACCAAAATTTTTCAGATACAACATGTTGCAGCGAACATTTTGGTACCTTTTCTGTCATTGATTATGGTATCTGAGGAAAAACTAAAACAATCAACAGTTAAAATTTAGATCATGACCTTGACCTTTGACCATGGCCTTAAATTTCTTTTGGTGGACCAAGGACATCAAAACAAAATACTCTAGGTCTCTGTAACTTGCAGATCATGAGTTACATTTATATATGTCAAACACAGAAAGGGAAATAACTCTCATATGGAGACTATATTGCTTCAGTCAAAATTGAATATTCTGATGAAATAAAGAACAATTTAGAAAAAATAAATTTGTCAATTTCTTTTACGTTTGCGAAGAAGTAACGATAGCAAGAAAAACAGTGTACAGGGAGATAATTCTCAGAGGATATATGAATAGTTACACAGTGTAAACTGCCAAAGCGTATTCACTGTTAAAAATCATGTGCCAAAAATCTTTTCGATATCTAACCAAACTTGAAAAAATCTCAACATGAAAAAAGTGGCGGAAGGAAAAAAAAAATTTATCAGAACAAACAAAGTCTATCCACAGAAAAATGGAAAGAACTTATTAAATAAATAGAATGCAATTGGCAAGACATTTAATTGTAAAAACCAAACATTATAGCGCCACGAGCAAACAAGCACTTCTCTTTTGAGTCTCGCAAATTCTACCTGTCAGTTTCAAAAAGAGAAAGTCACTCCTCCCTATGATTCAGAAGTAGTGTGAGCCTTAGTCACTGCCAGTTTTTGTCTTGCCTGCGACTTAAGTTGCAGAATGCGAGACATAGGGATTACTATCCTGAGGCAGCAGTGTATACTATTTGTATTAAGCTTTATATTTCAGAAGGTAGAAGACCTGGATGCTTCATACCTTATGTTATGAAGTTTCCAATCTGTCATATGTCCATGGTCCTTGATCTCATTTTCATGGTTCAGCAACTATTTGAAAAAAAATTACATTTTTTTTGTAATGTGAATTTCTCACTTATTATGAGTAGATACAGAAAACAGATTTATTTGGCTTCTTTCATTTGAACATGAATAAATTGATTTATTATAAATTATTTACAATAAGAAACTACTGCTATAGTTAACTCCATAATATCTTAAGCATTATCATTATTGCTTCTTTACTTTTGTCTAGTCATAATCATTATATGTAACACGCCCTTTATGACTCTTAAACAATTTGTTTAAAGCTTTATATTTCAAAAGGGTAGAAGACCTGGATGCTTTATACCTTGTATTTAGATACCTTATATTACAAAGTTTCCGTCTGTTATATGTACATTGTCCTTGATCTCATTTTCATGGTTCAGCGACTGCTTGATTTTTTTATCATGTGATTTCTCACTTATTTTAAGTAAAAGGATAACTATATTTGGCATATGGGTTCCTTGCAATGTCTACATATCTGCCAGCCACAGTTCACCTGACCTTGATCTCATTTCATGGATCAGTGATCAAGGTTAAAGTTATGTGATTAGGTCGGTATCTCAGGTACTATAAGCAGTAGGTCAACTATATGTGGTGTATGGAATGATTGTAATTGGTACATGTCAGTCTGACAGGTTTCATCTGACCTTGACCTCATTTTCATGGTTCATTGATCAATGTTTAGTTTTTGTGTTTTGGTCTGTTTCTCAAACACTATAAGCAATTGGTTTACTATATTTGGTGTATTGGATGATTAGGTATCATTTTTCCTTGACCTCATTTTCATGGTTCATTGGTCAATTTTAAGTTTCTGTAGTTTGGTCCTCCTCAAATACAATAAGTAATAGGACAACTATATTTGGTGTATGGAATGATTGTAGTGTTTACATGCCTGTCTGTTTGACATTTCACAGTGATATCATACTTTAACTTTGTTTAAACCTGTTTATTTACTTTTGACTTTAATTATTTATCCCTTGTAATTTTTTATTAACTGTGTATTTGCATTCAGGTGTCACAGTTCAAATTTATTCGTTCATTGTGTGTTAATTTACGTTTTTTGATTGAGTTAAGCCTTCCAATTGATATTTTATAGTGTGTTTTTCTATGTTGTGATGTTATACTATTGTTTCAGAAAAGGGAGAAGGTTTGGTACCATTAAAACGTTTAATCCCACTGCAAATGTTTGCACCTGTCCTAAGTCAGGAATCTGATTACAGTAGTTGTCGTCTGTTTATGTAGTTCATACATGTTTCTCATTTTTATATAGATTAGACCGTTGGTTTTTCTGTTTGAATGGTTTTACACTAGTAATATTTCGGGGCCCTTTATAGCTTGCTGTTCCATGTGAGCCAATGCTCCATGTTGAAGGCCGTACCTTGACCTATAATGGTTGACTTTTATAAATTGTAACTTGGATGAAGAGTTGTCTCATTGGCATTCATACCACATCTTCCTATATCTATCTACTGTCTGGCAGGGTTCATCTGACCCTGACTTAATTTTTATGGTTCATTGGTTTATATATAGTTTGCCTGGTTAAACTGTTATTTTTTTATATGATAAGCAATAGGTCAACTATATTTGGTGCATGGAATGATTGTAAGGTGTACATGTCTGTCTGTCATATATCATATAATCGACCTCATTTTCATGGTTCAGTGGTCAATTTTTAGTTTTCACAGTTTGGTTTGTTTCTTTCATACTATAAACAAAAGGTTAACTATATTTGTTTTTTTTATGGAATGATTTAAAAGTGTACATGAATATATGCCAGGGTTTATCTGACCTTGACCTTATTGTCATCGACCATTGATAATGTTAAGCTTATGTGATACTTGCAGTAAAACCTTTATTTTGAAGACTTTCAACATCAAATCAATCATGGTCAATAAAGCAGGCAAGACATTTCAGCCTGTGCACTATTGTTTGTTAATTATCACATGACAAATATTGACTGATTACGTTCAGCTTATTGAATCTCCAGGATAGGAAAGCCTATAGATCTTTTTTCCTGAAATGTTTTTATTCATTTGAATGTTGAACTAGTGAGAAAAACTATCAAACACAATCAACATAATGGGAAATATCAGCTAGATTAGGGAAAGATTTCTATCATTTCTTGACTTGAAATTTTGTAAAATGTCCTGTTTTATATGATTCTAAATCCAATGCAATAACTGTAATGTTACTTTTGATTGGATGATATCTGCTATCAATTTCACAGTTGAAGGACAGAGTCATTGGCAACCATGTTGCACAATTGCATTTTAACAACTTATATATATTTCATTTTGACCATTTTGACCATTTTTCAAGAAAATTGCATAAGAATATCAGTACTGAAATAAAAAAGTTGTTGTTGTCAAATTCCCAATTGATGGTTGCAAATCTACAGTACTGAAATTCCTTAATCTATTTGAGCCTAATAATTAGACTTGAACTCATGCCTAGGCTTTCATTGTGTGCTCTCAGGAACTACAATCATAGCTTCCTGAAATTTGGTAGTTTCATGTAAGCATATTATACAATGTGATGCATTTTCAGATTTGTTGCTCAATTAATTCATAGAAACGGATACTTACGTATTCTTATACTTAATGGCTGTTAAGAAACTTTAGTCACATTTGTCTTAAGAATCTTCAAATCAATCCTTTCTGAAATTCGGTTTCAAGCTTTATGTAAACATTCTTGACAGTGTGATGCGTTTTCTGTTCCATTACTCATTAACTTCCCATTTTCGAATACTTATAGCAAAGGAATCACAGTTTAACTTGTTCAAACTTTCTGATTAATGATAATAAAATACAGTATAAACATTTTTCAATTACTTCTGTGATATTTTGTAGCTGGTTAATATAGGATCACAATATAACTATGGCAGTGAAGATCATGCAGAATTTTTATGTGTTGTGTCGAAAGAATGTCCTAATAACATAAATGGAACAGAGTCAGAGTCTACAGATAAAGTTAAGGTGAGATATTAGGGCTATTCTGATTACTGTAAATTGTGAAATTATTGGTCCAATTTATTTATACAAATGGTCAACTGTTGTCCAAAGTTTCAGTGTTCTTGAAAACTGGTGATTCTGTCAGTCCTTACCACCAGAAATCAGGTAGGTCCAGCAATTTCAAGTTTAGTGGTGGTCCTATATACCGGTAGCTAATGTCCGAATTAAAGTTTGTGATGTTTTTGTTCTTTTTTTAAGCCTTTTGGTATTTAGTATAGCTTCTAATTACAATGTATATCAAGATTTGATATGGAACCATATAATTATTGTGCAAATTGGTCTTGTTTGATTTAAACCTTTGAAAATAATTGACTGCAAAATATTTACTGCAAAAACAGGACCACCAAATGTTAACTGGGACCAACAGATTTGTAGTTTTGGTGGTCCTTATAACCACCAGGCTGTAAAGGATTTTGAGAACTCTAAATTTCTTAATATATTAAAATTATGCCAAAATATAAGTGCATAGTATCAACAGGATGTAGGACCACAAAATTAATCTATAAAATATGTTTCAAAAATGAATAATGATGGATTAATAAGATACCTTTTTTTCAAAGAAAAGACATAAATCAAATCTGAATAATTTAAAAAAGAAATGCAAGTGTGGTCTATTTAACTTCTAAAATCAGTTCCATAAATATCTATGAATAATCAAAAATATAGGTTACAATTATCAACAGATCCGGCATGGGGTTATCGTATTCAGTAATCGTAATCAGATAAGCTGTAATCAATTACATTTTGCAATGTAATCATGTAATCAGTAATCATGCAATTTCTGATTACAAGTAATCGTATTGTAATTGATTACAATGAAAATAAAAATAAAAACGTTGGGCACAGCTTAGTATGAACGCAGAGGTCAAACCCTGAACAGTTGGGGCAAGTATGGACACTATATTCAAGCTTGATACAGCTCTGAATTTGGATTGTGATTAAATATTTGACACAGCATTGGTTTCTTACAGAGAATGAATGTGGTTAAAGAACTTAAAAATTTGAAATTGGACTTGTACCTTTTATGGTCCAATATGTATCCAAAATCTAAATACACTATTAGATTCAGCATATCCAAGTACACCAAGAATTTTATTTATTTATTTATTAATGTTATTGTAGTAAATAATTTACAACAATAATATAATATGTGTTCCCTATTGGAATTTTGAAACAAGTATTTATTAATGGACAATATTAGCAAAATTTTTAAAGGGGTTCGCTTCATCAAAAAAAAAGACATATATATAGCATTCTGAAAATTAGTTTATACAGTATAACAAACCTACCACAAAGTTCTTAAAAAAATTTACAAAAAAAATGAAAAAACAATTTCCAAAATATCATTCCTCATTAATAAAAAGTCTTTAAAAAATCTGTAAAACTTACCTCAAATTATTTTATTAAAATATTTAATAATGAACAGTTAATTTCAAACTATATCTATACATAATTTCTTCTCTAAAATTAGATGTGATTCTGTATCTTTTTTTAACCGGATTTTCAAAGTAAAAATCGGTTATTGATTTGGGGATGTACGGTGGGCGTACCAAATTTTGATATGTTGTTTCGTGCGACTAAATGAAGGTCAAGTTCAATTTTCACGATTTTAGCTTTTCTCGTTTGTGAGTTATCGCCCTTTTTAATATCCATAAGTGGTATTTTTTTGTGATTGAATTTTTTCCTTTGAACAGAAATTGTTAATTATATACATAAAGTTTGATTACACTAAGCCTTTATAGATAATTGTCACCTGTTTATATGTCCTGTTATCAGTTTACTAAACATATGGTTAATGTCTTATCTTGAGTGACAGATTTATTTGAAAATTTTCTGTTTTCTAAGTGTTGATGATTAAAAGCTATATAGTAGTAAATATAGTTAGAAAGGAGTAGGTCCGGTAAGGGCTGATTTTGGCCTCAAAATTCAGGTTCATCTGATGAAAGATTTGGGACACTTTTTAAACACTTAAGTGTCTACTTCAGTCGATTCAATTAGTGTATGTGAAAGATTTGAACTGATTTAGTCATTAAAGACGCTCAAATTCAAGCTTAGATATGAAAAATCTATCAAATATGCCATAATATGTCACTTTTCAGATGGTTTTTGTCAAAAATGAAAGTGGCCGCATCCGTGTTCATTCTCAACCTTTATATATGTTATGTATTAATAAAATACAACTTACATTTAAATATTAAGAATGAACACAAATGCGGCCAATTCCATTTAAGATGGAAACCGTCTAAAAATTAACCAAAACTGCTAAAATTTCAAAGATTTCAGTAATTTTGCATGACTTAATGATGCTAGTACCCGATACATGTGCATTGTCAAAAACAGCCCATATTTATGTAACAGAAGTATTCTTCTTTCCAATAAATAGCTAAAAATTTACATTTTAACAATTTTGTAAAACTGCTACATTTTGGGGCCAAAAAGGGGTCTTACCGGGCCTACTCCTTTACTGTTCATTATTAGACTTTTTGAAGATAATTACAGATAAGTTTTATAGGTTTTTAAAAGACATTGTATTAATGATAAATAAAATTTTTGATTTTTTTTTCTTTTCTTTGGTAAATTGTAAATTGTTTGTTATTCTGTAAAAATTAATTTTCTGAATGCTATATATGTTTTTTTGATTAGGTGAACTCCTTTCAAAACTTAGCTTATATTGTCTATTAATAAAGATATATTTAGATTTCTGATTTTGGGCCCAGTTTTCAAGTTGGTCCAAATCGGGGTCCAAAATTAAACTGTTTGATTTCAACATAAATTGAATATATGTAGGTTTCTTTGAAATGCTGAATCTAAACCTGTATTTATTTTCATTATTAGTTAGATAATACCACATCGAGGTACAAACGGTCCTAAATTAAACTTTTGTTATGCCCCCGCCGAAGCGGTGGGGGCATTAAGTTTTACCCTTGTCAGTCTGTACGTACGTCCCAAAATTGGTTTCCGTTCTCTCACTTAAGTTTGCCTCAACCAAATGTTATGAAACTTATACACAATGCTTATTACCACAAAACACAGATCAAGTTTGAATTTTGGTGGCGTCACTTTAACCGATCTAGAGTTATGCCCCTTTATAAATGGAAAAAATGCAAAATTTTTATTTTCTTCTAAATATCACTTAATTTTTATACGACCGCAAAAAAAATTTTGTGGTCGTATATTGGTATGACGTTGGCGTCGTCGTCGTCGTCGTTGTCGTCGCCGTCTGGCGTCGTCCGAAGACACATTGGTTTTCGCACTCTAACTTTAGTTTAAGTGAATGGATCTCTATGAAATTTTACCACAAGGTTCAATACCACAAAAGGAATTAGGGGCCAAAAAAGGGGAAAAAAACAAGCATTTTTCTAGTTTCATGACAATAACTTGTGTGTAAGTGTATGGATCTTTCTGAAATTGTACTACAAGGTTCCATATCACAAAGGAAAAGCTGGAATTGAGTTTGGGGGTGATTGCCGAAACGTTTAGGAATTGGGGGCCAAAAAGGGGCCAAAAATAAGCATATTTCTAGTTTACAGACAATAACTTGTGTTCAAGTATATGGATCTCTCTGAAATTGTACTGCAAGGTACCATACCACAAAGGGAAGGCTGGGATTGATGATGGGGGTAATTGCCTCAATATTTTAGGAATTAGGGGCCAAAAAGGGGCAAAAAAACAAGCATTTTTCTAGTTTCAGGACAATAACTTGTGTGTAAGTGTATGGATCTTTCTGAAATTGTACTACAAGGTTCCATATCACAAAGGGAAAGCTGGGTTTGAGTTTGGGGGTAATTGCCCTAAATGTTTAGGAATTTGGGGCCAAAAAGGGGCCAAAAAACACATTTTTCTATTTTCTAATAACTTGTGTTCAAGTGTATGGATCTCTCTGAAATTGTACTGCAAGGTACCATACCACAAAGGGAAGGCTGGGATTGAGTTTGGGGGTGATGAATCATAAAGGGGTTCAAAAAATTTGGGGGGGGGGATTTTTTTTTTCTTCATTTTTTTTCTTTTTTTCCTTTTTTTCTTTCTTTTAAAATTTTCCATTTTAAGTTGGTTATTTCTGATTTATATTTAAAAGCAAATAATAATGATATGGTAGGAGATACACACCAAACAGGATGTGTAAATTATTATATAATAAGTATAGTGCAATAGCAAGAAATTTTCAATTGCACAGTATTGCACACAATAGCAAGAAATCTTCAATTGCACAGTATTGCGCAATAGCAAGAAATCTTCAATTGCACAGTATTACGCAATAGCAAGAAATATCCAATAGCACAATATTGCGCAATAGCAAGAAATTGTCAATTGTACAGTATTGCGCAATAGCAAGAAATATTTAATTGCACAGTATTGTGCAAAAGAAGATACTTCGTATAAATTGCTTATTTCTTGACCAATTTCAATGGGGTTTTACTCTTGAATTCTTGGGGTTCTTTAATATGCTGAATCTAACCGTGTATTTAGTTTTTGGATTTTGGGCCCCGTTTTTAAATTGGTCCACATTGAGGTCCAAAGGGTCCAAAATTAAACTTTGTTTGATTTCATCAAAAATTGAATTATTGGGGTTCTTTGATATGCCGAATCTAACCGTGTATTTAGATTCTTAATTTTTGGTTCCATTTTCAAATTGGTCTAAATTAAGGTCCAAAGGGTCCAAAATTAAACTTAGTTTGATTTTAGCAAAAATTGAATTCTTAGGGTTCTTTGATATGCTGAATCTAAACATGTATTTAGATTTTTGATTATGGGCCCAGTTTTCAAGTTGGTCCAAATCGGGGTCCAAAATTAAACTTTGTTTGATTTCAACAAAAATTGAATATATGGGGTTCTTTGATATGCTGAATCTAACCATGTATTTAGATTTTGGATATTGGACCATAATAGGTGAATGTCCAATTTAAAAATTTTAAGTTCTTAGACCACATTCATTGATTAAAGTTGAATCAACTACAATCAATGCTTTATACAATGCAATGTTTAATTTTTACTTCCACAGATAAAACACAGATCAAGTTGAATTTGGGTAGTGTCACTTTAACTATTATTGAGTTATGCCCCTTTATAAATCGAAAGATTGCAAAATTTTTAGTTTCCATTCTCTTACTTAAGTTTGAATATTGTGTCCAAATTTATCCCAACTGTTCAGGGTTCGACCTCTGCGGTCGTATCAGGCTGCGCTCAGCGAAGCATTTTATATAAAAGAGTTATGCCCTTGAAAACATTAATTAAATGGAAAATTGCATTGTTAGCGCTCTCATGTGTACAATTCTTGCCAGATTTTTATGAAACTTGTATTGTAGGTTTATATCAGCAATGTCTCGGACGAGTTCAACAATCAGTGCCGATCAATAATTTTTATAAGAGTTATAATTATGACCCTTAGAAATATTAATAGTATGGAAAATTGCATTTGTTAGCCCTCTCATGTGTACAACAATTCTTGCCAGATTTTTATGAAACCTATATTGTAGGTTTATATCAGTGATGTCTCAGCCAAGTTCGAAAATCAGTGCCAATCAATTATTTTTAAAAGAGTTCTGCCCTTAGAAATATTAATTATATGGAAAATTGCAATGTTAATGCTCTCATGTGTACAATTCTCGCCAGATTTTTATATAACTTATATTATAGGTTTATATCAGCAATATCTAGGACAAGTTTGAAAGTCATTGCCGATCAATTATTTTAAAAAGAGTTTTGCCCTTAGAAATATTAATTATATTGAAATTTGCATTGTAAGCTCTCTCATTTGTAAATTTCTTGGCAGATTTTTACAAAATTCATATCAAAGGTTACAATGTCACAATATTCTTCAACTCTAAAATAATTTTAAAAAGTTTTGAAAAACAAAAAAACAAAAAACAAATTTTTAGGTTATGACCTTGGACAGATAAAATATGTGCAACAAGGGGGACATTATAACTCTGTTATTATATTTTTATACGACCACAAAAAATTTTACGGTCGTATATTGGTATCACGTCGTAGTCGTCTTCCAAAGACATTTAGTTTCCCGACAATTACTTTAGTAAATGTAAATAGAAATCTATGAAATTTTAACACAAGGTTTATAACCACAAAAGGAAGGTTGGGATTGATTTTGGGGGTTATGGTCCTAACAGTTTTGGAATTAGGGGCCAAAAAGGGGCCCAAATAAGCATTTTTCTAGTTTCCAGACAATAACTTGTTGAACGGTGTATGGATCTCTCTGAAATTATACCACAAATTTCCATACCACAAAGGGATGGTTAGGATTTGCTTTGGGGGGTTATGGCTCAAACTGTTTAGGAATTAGGGGAAAAACAAGGGTTTCTTGGTTAATGGACAATTAAAAAAAGTACAATGTTATGTTTGGATTACCTCCCTTACACTGCTTTTAAATTATGTATAAAGAAATGTTGTATTGTCTTGAGGTGATTAGCTGTCAATTTATTTTTAGAAGTTACTATTTAAAAATGCTGATTAAGGAATATTAATTTTAGCCATGATTATGTATGTCATTTTCTATTTTAAGACTTTTATGATGTATTTAAATGGGTAATTATGGTTGCAAACTCCATTGGAAATTTGAATTCAGATTATGACCATATCGTGAGGGAAAGATTTTTTTTTTTTTGTGAAAAAGTGGGGGGAGGTGAAAAAAAAATTGGGGGGGTGGGGGGTAAATATTCAGAAATTAAAAAGAAAATTTCTTCAAATATTTTATATTTTTTGCCAAAATTTTTTTTTGAGGGGGGTTAATTCGCAACAGCATAGTGTATTGCAGAAAAGCAAAAAAAGGGGGGTAATTTTTTTTCTTTTGGGAGGGGGGTTGCAATTCCCAACAGCATAGTGTATTGCACAAAAGCAAAAATTTGAATATAAATTCAAATCATATAACCAATTCTAAGTTCTTTGACTACAGTTATTCTGTGTAAAATACTTAATTACAATCCAAATTCAGACCTGTATCAAGCGCGAATATTGTGTCCATTTTTGCCCCAACTCTTCAGGGTTGGACTTCTGCGGTCGTATCCAGCTGCGCTTGGCGAAACAATTTATTTTAATTTTTGCACAAAATTATTTTTTATTATTGCACTCATAAAGTGTCTGTTTGCAATGCGCCGATGTATAGTCATCAATGTGCTGATGCATCATCGTACTAGGTAGATGTCCAGTCATGTTTTTTTGTACCAATGTGTTCCACTATTCTTGCGCTTTGGATATTATTTATAGTCTAAATTTTCTGACACAAAGTCATTATATAAATAAAAAAATCCACGGTTTTCTAATTACTGAAATTTGTGACATACCACGATTTGCGTTCTTAGACACCACCTTTTACTAATTACCCTTATATTTCATGCCCTTCCCTTAATCAATCTCTGTTCCCAGTTGGTTACTGGTAACAGAAATGAATAAAAAATCTGGAAATTGTAAATTTTTTAAGATGAAAAAAAACGGAGCGTGAAATCAAACCAAATTTTAATTTTGGACCCTGATTTTTATCAACTTGAATACTGGGCCCAAAAATCAAAAATCTAAATACATGTTTAGATTCAGCATATCAAAGAACCCCTTGAATTCAATTTTTGTTAAAAATCAAACTTGATTTAATTTTGGACCCTTTGCACCTCAATGTGAACCAATTTGAAAACCGGTCCCTAAATCAAAAATCTAAATACACGGGATAGATTCAGCATATCAAAAATCCTCAAGAATTCATTTTTTTAAAATCAAAGAAAGTATAATTTTGGACTCTTTGGACCTTTATTTGAACCAATTTGAAAAGGGCCCTACAATTAAATATCTAAATACACGGTTAGATTCATCATATCAAAGAACCCCCATAATTCAATTTTTGATGAAATCAAACAAAGTTTAATTTTGGACCCTTTGGACTTCAATTTGGACCAATTCAAAATCTATAATCAGCATATTAAAGAACCCCAAGAATTCAAGACTTTGAATTAAACCACAGAAAAATATTGTTTTTGGACCCTTTTAACTTAACAGTTAGGGCCATAAACCCCAAAATCAATCCCAACCTTCCTTTTTTGGTACGGAACCTTGTGGTACAATTTCATAGAGATCCATAGCCTTATTTATACTCAAGTTATTGTCTGGAAACCAGAAAATCTTAATTTTGTTACCCCTTTTTGGCCCCTGATCACTACAAACTGCTCAGAGTCTGAAAAGACCAGTTTTTGTGCTCGACCAGTAAAGTCGAGCACAGATTTTACTTGACTTGTCTCGACAGTACTTAACTGTACTCGACTTTGGTCTCGACTTTACTTAATAAGTCTGATTCAGTAATTTATAATCTTGGTGTAGTCTGAAATGGTCTCTACCAAGGCCCGACCTGTCTCGACCAGTCTCGACCAGTCTTGACCTGTCTTGACCAGTCTCGACTCAGTCTTGACCAGTCTCGACCAGTCTTGACCTGTCTTGACCAGTCTCAACTCAGTCTTGACCAGTCTCAACCTGTCTCGACTAGTCTTGACCTTCAAGTTTAGTCTCAACTGGTCTGAATCAGCCCATCTAACTAAATTAAATATTGATCTTACAAAATTCCAGGTTATTTGGTAGTTGGTTCATTGCTGGGAAGTTAAAGAAGTAAATTAATAGGTAAAAAAAAAAGCAAGAATTTTCAGTTTTGACTAAATTCAGATAGTCGTCTTTAATTATTTCTATAACTTTTTCAAATCAACTTGGATTTTCATAACACTATACAGCTATCTCAATTATACATTGATCTTACTGAATCCCAGGTTGTTATGTAGTTTGGTGTATTGCTGTCAAATATAAGGATTAAATAAATAGGTAAAAAAAAAAGAGATTTTTCATTTTGGGTAAATTCAGATAGTCAACTTTAAGTATTTCTATAACTTTTTCAAATCAACTTGGATTTTCATCAAACTCTACATCTATCTCAATTATACATTGATCTTACTGAATCCCAGGTCGTTATGTAGTTTGGTGTATTGCTGTCAAATTTAAGGATTTAATTAATAGGTAAAAAAAAAGCTAGAATTTTCAGTCGGACTGCATTCATATAGTTAACTTTAAATTTGTTTATTACTTTTTCAAATTAACTTGAATTTTCATAAAACTATACAGCTATCTCAGTTGTATATTGATCTTACTAACTCCCAAGTTGTTATGTTATTTGGCATATTGCTGTCAAATTTAAGGATTTAATTAATCAAGGTAAAAAAAGCTAGAATTTTCAGATTGGACTAAATTCAGATAGTTATCTTTAAATTTTTTTATAACTGTTTCAAAGCAACTTGGGTTTTCATCAAAATCTACAAGTTAATTTGAAAAAAATAATAAACAAATTTAAGTTGACTAGCTGAATTCAGTCCCACTGAAAATTCTAGCTTTTTTTACGTAATAGTTATACACCGACGGGGTTTCTTATCCAGACACGCTGTATCCCGAGGTGTATAACTAACTTACACCCCATTCTAAACCCTATATTTGTTAACATTGATTATTAAATGCAAAAAAAAAAACAAAAAACGATAGCATATTTATTGGCAATATCAAACCATGATTTATAAGAATATTTTTTTTATTACATGAAACCCCACTAGTAACCTTTCTTTGGTTATCTTCGTTCAAACTTTGACAAGTGAGTATATTTTACAAATGTAAAGTTGTTTTGCATATTCCCGTTAAATCCATGTGCTAATATGGATCAGCAGGTCAAGGTTGAGTGTTACGTGTATTCTTATTACAAACAAAAAATACATCATGCTCCTGGTATACAGTTGTCAATATGGACGGGTATATGACGGACGACATTTTTTGGCAAGCGTTGGATTTGGTAGAAGAGACTAAAGATAAAGGCAATATTATTACCCAAAGTACTTACCTGTATCAGTTTAATAAAGGTAATCATAACTGTATTTTATATCTTACAATTTTATCAAAAACAACCCCCACCCCCCTCTTCTCGAGAATAAACAAACATTCATATTCGAACATACTAAGGGATATGTGTGTCTGCATTAGAAACCTGACTACCAGACACGCTCAACATACAATATTTAATATCGAGGAACTCCCTTTTGGGGGGGGGGGGGGGGGGGGGGGGCAATCAGGGGCTGATCAAGCCGGGGTTTCCCAACTCAAGAGAAAAAGGGGGGTCCAACCATTCAAATGCATTGATCTTTTAAATAAAAACCCAAATCGGCCACTGGGTAACGCAGGGGGGGGGGGGGGGGGGGGGGTTACGGGAGTTAGAATCCCCATTTTTTTTAAAGATCCTTAGAATAGAGACATATGGCTGGGATAAAAAAAAAAAACCTTCAAGCAAAATTAAGAGTATTTAAAGGATTATTTTTGAATTCCATATAGACGCTTATTGGAATTTCCTAAAATGTGTTTTTTTAATATCATGAAACAATTTGTAGTGAACACTATTAGTTATTTCTTTTGTTCATGCTATTTAAAAAATAAGCAATTTCTATTGTTACGAATAACAATGGACTTTGTTTGCGGGATGTAGAAGCAAGGGTTTCCAGAAACCCCGCTCGTCACACCCTGTGGTCAAAATCCATTGTTATACGTAACAATAGATCTATTCAATTTACACTTGTTTCAGAAATAGAAACTATGAAGTATAACAATAGAACTGGGGTGTAACTATTAATTAAATTCTTAAATTTGACAGCAATACACCAAACTACATAACGACCTGGGATTCAGTAAGATCAATGTATAATTGAGATAGCTGTATAGTTTTATGAAAATCCAAGTTGATTTGAAAAAATAATAAACAAATTTAAAGATGACTAGCTGAATTCAGTCCCACTGAAAATTCTAGTTTTTTTTACCTATTAATTAAATTCTTAGATTTGACAGCAATACACCAAACTACATAACGACCTGGGATTCAGTAAGATCAATGTATAATTGAGATAGCTGTATAGTGTTATGAAAATCCAAGTTGATTTGAAAAAGTTATAGAAATAATTAAAGACGACTATCTGAATTTAGTCAAAACTGAAAATTCTTGCTTTTTTTGTACCTATTAATTTACTTCTTTAATTTCCCAGCAATGAACCAACTACCAAATAACCTGGAATTTTGTAAGATCAATATTTAATTTAGTTAGATGGGCTGATTCAGACCAGTTGAGACTAAACTTGAAGGTCAAGACAGGTCGAGACTGGTCAAGACTGATCGAGACAGGTCAAGACTGGTTGAGACAGGTCGAGCCTTGGTCGAGACCATTTCAGACTACACCAAGATCATCAATTACTGAATCAGACTTATTAAGTAAAGTTGAGACCAAAGTCGAGTACAGTTAAGTACTGTCGAGACAAGTCGAGTAAAATCTGTGCTCGACTTTACTGGTCGAGCACAAAAACTGGTCTTTTCAGACTCTGAGCAGTTAGGACAATAACCTCCTAAATCAATGCCAACCTTTCTTTTGTGGTATGGAACCTTGTGGTACAATTTTGTAGAGATCTCAAGTTACCGGTATTGTCTGGAAACCAAATGTCTTCAGACGACGATGCTGGCAACATTATACGGCCGCAAAATTTTTTCGGTCGTATAAACATAGGTGTAATCATGATTACTTTTAGATTGCTTTTAGGTTACATTCATATGATTACTTGTTGATTACAAATTTTGTATATGGAAATAGTTTTTGATAAACAAGCATGAATAAAATATTTATCAAACTAGTATTTACTATGATTGATCATGGTTCAATATGATTGATCCTATCTTCTATATAACATGTTTAGTATAACCAAGCTTGGGGATGTAGAGTGAAAATGTGTGATTTATTTTGTATGATATTTGGTTTGCACTTGTATTAGCATTGGCATGTCTCATTTCCATGGAGATTATTTGACCCCTCCCTCTCAGTCATGGTCTATTGACTTTGAAACTTTTGGTTAGTTTACATGTATTAGTTTGCAATTAGGTCAAGTTAATTGGGAACCACTAGTGATAGGTCAATGATATTTGGTTTACACTTGTATTAGCATTAACACATCTCATTTCCATGGAGATTATTCGACCCCGCCCCCTCAGTCATGGTCTATTGACTTTGAAACTTTTGGTTAGTTTACATGTATTAGTTTCTGATTAGGTCAAGTTTATTGGAAACCATTAGTGGTAGGTCAATGATATTTGGTTTGCACTTGTACTAGCATCGGCACTAAATTAATTTACCTTTCCAAATCTTTCATTGTGAGATTGAGTCCAATTGTGACACAAGAATATGCTTTGAAAACATTTAATGTTCCCTGATAGAACACTTCTGATATTAACTCCTATTATAGTTTACACAATATTTTGTTTTTACTACTTTGACATTCAATAGCATAGAACATTAATTTGGGGGATTTGAATCATATTTTGACTCTGATGATTGACATAAAGAAGCCCACTTAAATAATAATGGAATTTAGAACCGAATTTTTTTCTTTTTCATAGTTTATATAAATTTTGTTTTTCATAAATATTTTATATGTGCTTTCTTTAAAACTATATCAGGTATTGAAATTTTTCATACAATCATTTACATAATGAAAATAAACTACTATTAACTTTATTGATTATTGCTATAAAGACAATTTATTTTTAATACCCAAGCTCATCCATTGTTTGTCAAAAAAATTGAAATAGTGATTAACATCTGTAAAAACATATATGAGTCAATTATGACCCACAGACAATAATACCATACTTGATCATTAATTTTTCATTATTCATGGTATTTGTTCAGGTCTTTTTTTTTATGCCATGGCCGTAGCAGAGGGGGCATTAAGATTTACCCTTGTAAGTCTGACCATACGTCATGAAATTTGTTTCTGTTCTCTAACTTTAGTTTGCCTCAACAAAATGTTAAGAAACTTATACATGTTATACCCAATGCTTATTACCACAAAACTCAGATCAAGTTTGAATTTGAGTGGCGTCACTTTTACTGTTCAGGAGTTATGCCCCTTCATAAATGGAAAAAATGCTGAATTTTTTGTTTCCGTTCTCTAACTTTAGTTTGCCTCAACCAAATGTCAGGAAACTTATATATTGTATTGTTAAATATGTTAAAT